GCAGGGGCCGGGGGAGACAGGACAAGCAGGGGTCCGCCGAGAGGGCAAGGGCAGAGCAGGGGCAGATGAGCAGGGGTGGGGGGAAGCAGGGCGAGCAGGGGTAGCTCTAGGCATGAGGGAAGAGCAGGTGGAGATGAGCAAGGAGCACCTCTGGGAGCTCAGGAGCTGAGGGCAGAGCAGGGGCAGGTGAGTGGGGCAGCTCGGAGCAAGGGCAGAGCAGGCACAGGTGAGCATGGGCGGGTAGGGGGAAGCAGGACGAGTAGGGGCAGCTCAGGGAGTTCGGGGGGAAGGGCAGAGTAGGGGCAAGTGAGCAGGGGGCGGCAAGCAGGGGGTAGCTCTAGGGATGAGGGAGGAGCAGGGAGCACCTCTGGAGGCTCAGGAGATGAGGGCAGAGCAAGAGCAGGTGAACAGGGGCCGGGGAGGCAGAAGGAGCAGGGGCAGCTCAGGGAGCGAGGGCGGAGCAGGGGCAGGTGAGCATGGGCATGGGAGGAAGCGGGATGAGCAGGGGCAGCTCAGGGAGCTCAGGGCATGAGGGCAGTGTAGGGGCAAGTGAGCAGGGGCAGGGGGAGGCAGAACGAGCAGGGGCAGCTCAGGGAGCGAGGGCGGAGCAGGCGCAGCTCAGGGAGCGAGGGCGGAGCAGGCCCAGGTGAGCAGGGGCAGTCGGAGGCAGGTTGAACAAGAGAAGCTGAGGGTAAGCAGGGGCCGGCGAGACAGTAGGAGATGGCAGGAGGTAGAGGAAGAGGGCAGATCCGGACCCTCATCCAGCAGCAGCGAGCTCTCCGGCAGCACACAAAGGTGTCAGGAGAGCGCGGCAGCCTCCTGTGAGAGGAGCACATGGCTGAGCTGAGCAGTGTGGGGTGGGGCAGTGCAGTGGAGCAGGGCAGGGTGATGCCAAGGCTGGCACAGGAGAGAACGCTGGGCAGGGAGGCCCTGTGGCTGAGCTCCTGGAGGAACGTGTGGGCTACCAGGGCCGGGGCCACCATTTCTGCTCCTGGGACCAGGGATGTGAGTCTGGTGGGAAGCAGAGTGGGGACATAGGCTGCTGCCTGAGGGGCTGCAGAGCCCAGAGCACAGCAGGGGCTGGAAGAGCCTGGGGGCAGGAAGGGAGATGGGAGGGTGGGCAGGGCTCTGGGCTGAGTGAGGGGTGGGCCTGGCAGGTGGGGACTTGGCTTCCCCAGGGTAGGCGTATGTCTGACTCACTCCAGGGGCCCAGGACCACTGGGTCAGCACAAGGAAGGACACAGGGCCCGCCCTGTGGCCCTGGGCTGTTCACTCAATGCAGGGAGGGGCAGGCAGAAGGTGGACGCAAGGCTTCTACCTGTGCTGGGTGGATCTGTGCTGAGCTCAGCCAGGAGGAAAGCTCTGGAGAGAGCCAGGCGCAGACAGCAGCCAGCAGGGGCAGGCCTCGGCCCACCCTGGTGATGGCAGGGTGGTGAACGTGGGGACAGGGGTAGAGGGGCCATGGTGAGCCTCAGGAAGCCGTGCAGGACACCCAAGAAGGACTCATTGGGCCCGGGCGCTCCGACCCAAGCCTGTGCTAGCAGGCATGAGGGGCTCCAGGGAAACGGGACAAGGCTGGGGGAGGAGGTTCCCAGGCAGCTGTTCCAGGACAGGGATGGTCCAAGGCGCCGGAGCCTGGGCAGCACCCCACCCAACACAGCCTGGTGCCTGGACAGCAGAACCAGTTCCAGAAACAAGGGCCCTGGAGGCTAGAGGGTGGCCACCACCGTAAACACGTGTCTCACCAAGGGAGGAGCTTGGTGCTAGGGCCAGGAAGGGCAGCAGGGTAAGGGGCTGTGGGAGACCTGAAAGACAGGAAACAGAGGTACAGGTACAGCTAGGAATCCACAGGAGGCTGGAGGAGGGTCAAGCGTGCCTAGGTGGTGCTTGAGGACAGGGCCGAGGACAGGTTGGAGGCCCCAGGCTGTGCTGGCTCCAAGCAGTCATCAAGCCCTGACCCTGACTGGCAACTTGTCCAGCGCCTGCAGCTGCAGGGGCAAAAAACCCTGGGGCAGAGAGAGAGGGCAGCTGGTCCTGCAAGCACGTCTGTGGGAGGGCAGGGCGGGAGGAACCAGGAAGATCCAAGGTCAGAGAAGTCTCGTGCTGGATCCGACTCTGGCAACACCACAATCACACATGCCTCCTCTCTTGCAGCCTCCAAAACAGCCCCATCCGTCTTCCCCATGGCG